CGGTAAAGTACGCAATACACTTCCTACGATTTTCGAACGGTAATCGATATTTCTCGATTTTAAGCGGGAAAGAACGGGAAGAAACATGGCGGAAGGAAGCAGAAACGGCGTCTGTAAAGGAGAAAGTGTTATCCAGGAAAGTCACTCAGAAAGAAGTGTCATTGAGAAGTTCTCAGGTAAAAATTTAAATTAATAGTTGTTAGATTTGTGTTTGTGCTATAAATTTTTAAGATTAAACGTGCATTTTTGTGTTCAATTCAAGGTAAGATTTAACCAAATAATTGTTACATATAATTTCCAACAACTAAAGAAATAATGGCATATAAACATTTATATATAGCACATAAAAAGAACATACTGTGTTTTAAAAGTTATTTATAATTTTGTACCAAAATTTAATTTGAATTCTAACCAATAAAAATATTGTAATCTTGTAGTTGGCTAACTCATTGTTATATATGTATATATACACACACACATATTTTATTTTACACACACACTTATATTATAACATTTTTTACTTATTTGTTGATTCTTTAACTTCATACTGCGTAATTCTTCAACAATCCTACTAGTAAAAAGCAATAATTCATTAAGAATGTATGTATTTAATAGTTAAAATAATTTTAATGCATAATGTAATGAAATTGTTCAGTTCTCAAATAAAGTAAAGCGTAGAAAGCTTTGGAGCTGGAAATTCAAAGTAAAAATAACAACACGAACACAATGTTTATGTTTGGCTTGATTATCGTTTCGTTTGGAAAGGATCATCCCATTCCCTACTATTTTCTCAACTTCGTGACGAAACGAGTCGCAGAAAGTCATTCGGCTGTTGAATTTCATGACAATAACACGTATCATGTCTCATACGCTTTTCTAATAAAATTTGAAGTTGATTATCGTTTCACTTTTACATATTTGTCTTTATTTAATATATTTGTTCTAACTTTTGGGTTTTTTTTGTGCAGATTGTTCCTTGGTTGCAAAACTAGCATAGAATGCATAGACGCCAAGATCCTTAATGGAATTTGATGAACTTTCACGAAAATTTGACAATATTTTATTCATTTTAGGTAACATTTAATATACAGTTCATATATATTTGAGATACAATTTACAATACGTAATTTTGTAATTATTTGGAACGCAGAGATGAAAATGGAAAAGATTAAATCAATTAATATTTTATTTGGATATGGATTAACTTAACGGTATACATATATTGTCAAATGGATGTATATTCTTGTATTAGATTATCAAATTCTTGTATTAGATTTAAGTTTTCAAATTATACTACATGTACTTTATCATACTATTTGCTTTTTTCGAATGCTGACGTGCAATTGAAACAATTTAAAGCAAGATTTCACACGCGTTTTTCGTCGTATTATTTCTCAAATATACTTAGCTGTAAACATTGTTTACATTTTTGATTTGTGCAAACATTTTCGACTATTTATATGTGACGTGATATATTACTATATAATGTGCATATTTCCTACTCTAATAACAAACATTCAGAATACAATAATTGTCTTTTATTTACAGTATTCAGTATTGAAAAATATTTTATAACTTACAACTAATATTTTTAATACATATTCACGTTTCTTTACAATCATGTTCTAGAAAAATAGCAGTATTTTCTAAATAAACGTATCCTTCCCCTATTAATCAGTTTTTTTTTTTTTTTTCAGAAAATTTTTGTGACCGCGCGCAATGCGGTTAGTATAGTCAGTGTTTGTTGCGCAATATTTTAATATTTTTCTGAGCAAAATAGCTCTCATTAAATTAAATTAATTCATTTAAATTATACTTCGCGAATTTAGAGTCAGTGAGTTCGCCGATTATTCCTTAAACGTGCGCGTTGATAGTCTTTTATTTTTCTTTTATTGTATTTTTTCTTGTTCAGTGTTCGTTTTCGGTATTAGAGTCAGTGTTTAAAAGGATAAAGCCTCTCCAGGAGATCAAGATCGTAAGTAATTTTATAGATTGTATTTCAATTTATTTAATTTTTCAAATTTGACAACAAAGTAATGTTTGATGTTTGTTACAGACGCTTCACAGCATCAATTTTTTTGAATTTTTGGGGGTAAATTCAATGGTGGCTCTAAAGCCAAGAATGTAAGAATCTCTCATTATCTCCAACTTAAGATTTTGCTTTGTTTTTAAACATAAATTCTAATGTTTAGTGTTCTGTTACAGATTTTCTACAATCTCCACTCCCCCTAATCTTTTAAGGATCTCATGATGCTTCAAAAGCTAAAAATGTAAGTACTTTAGCATGTTGCATTTGAATTCTATTCTCTATAGTACTCTTTCTATTCAAGTCGAATGTAATAAAATAAGAATATTTTAAATTATTATTTCTAACTTTTATCATTATTAAAATTTTAATTTTCACAAATAAGAGTGTCTTTAAAAACAAAATGTTTCATGTTTCTTAAGAAATTTTTCACGGCGTTCATATCCACCATGGGACTTTCAATGGTATCTACTTGAGGGTCTTCACGATAACTTTCTCTGCTCCAGTGCAGCATCGATGATAACGTTCTTCACATCTATCGCGTGAGTCGCATGCATTTAAGTTCCTCCGGTCACTCAATCATGTCGTAGGATGAAAGATCCGAATCGGCACGGGTGACTGGTTGTATACGTAGAATTTTTG